AGAGAGAGAGAGCTAGATAGATGATAGATATAAAATTAAAAGGAAAGTCAAATTTATATTTACCTTTTACTATGTCACTATTTCTTCTTGAAGATCATGTTCCCATCATATTTTAGTTCCCTAAAATCTTAAAACATTTCTTTAGTTTTTATTGTAGTACAGGTTTAGTGATAACAAATTCCTTAGTTTACCTGAAAATGTTTATCAGTATTCTTTAAATATTTTTTACTGGTAGAGAATTTCAAGTTGAGAGCTTTAATTTTTTTCTTATTGGGCATATTTCATAGTCATCCACTGTTCTCTACTTTAGCACTTATATTAAAGCCTATAAAATAAATAATATTCAAGTTAGTAATGTTAATGTGACAAAGAATATTTACTAAAACCAAGCTCAATATGAATACAAGACACAGATTCAGAGTTGGGCACAGGCCTGTCCTCAAATGGTAACCCAATTAGGCTCCGTTTTCTATCTCCAAATTTCTTAGAAACTTATGTTTCTATAGTATAATATTATATCATTTGGGCTTCACTTGGTATAAATGTATCTTTTGAGAAATAGTAATACTTCTGTATTTTCTTTTTTATCTTGCAGCCTATTTCAGTTCAAATAGCACTCTGAGGTTACAGTAAGACAGTAAATAAAAGTGCATATTAGGCATCATTCTTGCCTGGTGACTGGTTTTTCTAGGTACACATCTAGATGGTTCAGAATATGGTGTATATGAATATGTATGCACACATGTGGTGTGAGAGATAAAGAGGGAGCTACAGTTGTAGTTTATTTGGAAATAAAATAGGTGTTTTGGGCAAGATACAGCCATTGCAGTCATAACTCACAGATGTCTGTCCTGGGTCTGCTATACTGGGTCTGCCTAAAAATAGTCCCCTCTTCAGTCAGGCACAAATGGAAGAGGAGCTCAGGAGGCCACTCCTTATGGCAGAACTATTTGCTACTGATAGATTCAGGGTATGGGGAATCATTGCCTCTGTTGTGCATCCACTGATGACCCCACCAGGCTCCAGTGGATAGTTCTAATCCAGTGATCACACAGATAGCCCTGGTTAAACTAAATGGGCCACAAAACCAAACCAAAAGTTGATTCTGGAAAAGGTACTTGGGGCTAGTGGTATGTTCATAGAGATGGGAAGGAGAAAAGTAAAGTGAGAGCATGGGAGAGAGTAATCAGAATGCATTGTATACGTGTATAAAATTTTCAAGTGCCTCTCTGTGTGTGTGTATGTGTGTGTGCGTGTATGTGTGTGTGTGTATGTGTGTGTGTGTGTGTGTGTGTGTGAAAAGAACGTAGAAGATTTGTATAGGAAACAAATATATCTCAGAATTAGTTCCATACCTCTTATAAAAGCTACTCACTAGTGAGGAAGGCCCAAATCCTCATGTTGGCATCTAAAACCTTCATCGATTGAGATTAAATCACTCTTTTTCAGTTTTGTTTTGTTTTCCGAGTTGTTGAGGCTCACACTCTGTGTCCCTATGGAAGTCCCTCAGCTGTCTGCAGAAAGTGTCATGCACACTTTCATTTTTCCTGCCCACCTTTTCAATTACACTGTATCTTTTTACTCCTGTGTCTAGTATCTTGTCATTTCAATTTTTGGTAATGTTAGTTTAAATTATCTGATTTTCATGTTATTTATATCACTAGATGTATGGGGCCTTAAAGGCTAAATGGCAGCTCAAAGTGTTTTGCTCAGGACCATCATTGATATTCTTGAAGCATTTCCTAAGGAATCAAATGATTAGATATAATGCTCAGTATACTGATTTACTGTATCTTGCAAAAAAAAAAAAAACCCAGGTTTTTATTATATGGAATAGAAATAAAAGAATTGATGTTGAAAATGTTAATTTCTCAAAAGCCTACAATTACTTAAAATTTTGCCCTCATTTGTTCTTCATTTTTAGGACTGTTGGGAAAGATCCTGATAGCTATTAGAGATGCGTGTTTTGAAGTCTCAGCTATGCAAATGGTAGGTGGTTTGCAATGAGCCATGGCACTGGGATTGTTTATTTAAAATAACCTTTACAGTGTTTTTAAGTGAATGTTCATTGTTTACTTGAGATTTGAATTTATTAAAAGATATACAAAACTCAGTAACCCTACAGTAAATCTTTTTTCAAATTATTTGAGCTGTATACTTTTATTGAGAAAACTAAAATTCAGATGTTACACCTAATTTAATCTTTAAAGTTTCTTCATTTCTTAAAACTACAGCTGCAAAGGACAGACCCCAAACTGTATTTCAGTCTTTAAAATGACAAATAGAATCAAAGTGTGTTGTTTTAATGTTCTGAATTTCTAAGCAGATAGTCAAGAAAGAGAAGGAGTTCAGATTCTCACAAGTAAAGAGATCACCAGAGGGTTGGAAAGGAGCAGGGGAAGGAGAATAGAAAAAAGCTCAATAGTGAGCAACAGATATACTTAAATAGGAGGAATAAATCCAATTCCTTTAGAGAAGGGGGTAGGTAAAATACAGTTAGGAGGAAAACGTTCAATACAGTTAGATTGGATGAATAAGCTTAATACAGTTAGCTGGCAATGGCTTCAATTTAGATAGGATGAGTAAGTTTAACAGAAGGAATAAGCTCTAGTGTTATATAGCATAAGATTACTGTAGACATGAAAGATTACTATTTCAAGACAGCCCGAAGAGAAGATCTTAAATGTTCCCAATGTAAAGAAATGGTAAATGTTCAAAGTGGTTCATGTGTTAATTACCCTGATTTGATCACTATACACTGTATAAATGAATCAAAATATCACACAATAGCCAATAATATGTATAATTATTGTATGTTAAAAATAAACAAATTAAAATTTAAAGAAAGAACTATCAACTGATTTCCCAAGCCATCGAGCAAATCATGAAATTTGATGAAAGCATTGATATTTGAAGAATCTTCCTAGGGATTTTATATTCATAGGCAAAAATATTTTGGTGTAATATAGTGATAGGATTATAGAACATAAGACTATCTTGAAAATAATTTAAGGAGTTTTGGTTTTACACATTCTAACTATTAAGCCTACAACCTAGCAAAGTAATTGGCATAGTAGACACTCAGCAAGACCAATGACTAATGTTTGAACCTTTGATGGAGGCGTTGTAGTACAACAGTAAACAGTACAGCAGTTGTTGATTTATGGACTCAGGGATACCTACCTTTCTTTGAATCTGGAGTCAGCTACTTTTTAGGCGTGTGCCCCTGGCCAGATGTTTTCTCAGTTCCAGGCCATGAGAACATTATTATTTGCTTCAGTAGGCTTATTCTATCTATTAGACTTTTCCTAAATTGCATCTTTTCTTATGTTTTGTTGTATTAATGGTAAATGCTAGTTGCATGTAGTGGAAAACATAGAAACCAAACAGAATTCACTTCCTGTAATAGCAATATTGCCTGTGATGGTAAATCCTTCCAGCTTAAACTACTGACAGGCCTTTCTAAGTGATTTCCAGTCTTGGCCATAGGAGAAGCAAAGTGGTAGAGGGGAATAAAATTGGAATCCAAAGTCTATTTAAAGTTAAGGTTTTAGTTCCTGAGACCCTTAAGCATAACAAATTTAAAATCATCCTTGATGTGGAGTTTTACTAGGTTTGTTCTATAAGTATACTTTTTACCACAGTTGTTTCTGAAGATTAGTAGGAAGCATATGTGATGTGTATGAGTGCTTCCTTATAAACGAGTCTAATAGTTTTTCTTAATGTCTGCAAGGACAACAGTATTGCTTTACACTCTCTGCAAAATATGAAGGATCTATGCTTAGTAACCGTGTTCTTGTATGTCTAATCTCTCAATTAACAGCATTATATTGCCTATGATGTTTTTGTGTCAATAGTAGGGTTTTATTCCGAGATACAGAGTAGTAGATAAGAGCATGGGCAATGGGGTCAGATTCTTGGTGACAGAATGCCAATTTGTGGTGGTCTCATGGCCCCTCTGAGCCTTAGTAATCTTGTTTCTAAATCTGAGCTATGCACACTACTTATATCCCATAGAGTTACTGTGAGAATTTAATGAGATGTTACATATACAGAATCTAGAGTCATGCATCACACCATAAGGACTCAATAAATCTCAACAAATGTCATGTATTGTTATTATTGATCAGCTAATCTTTAGTAATAGACAGGCATTTGTAAATGATCTCCAAGATCTGCCAGGACTGGTGATCACCAAGAAATGTCTGTCTTCAAAGAGTAAATACTTCAACATTTACATTTTAAACTTAAAAGAATAAGACAGATATAGTGGTAACCACTTATAATTCCAGCACCCAGAAAGCGAAGGCAGAAGAGTCACAAGTTCAACGATAGCCTGGGCTGCATGGTGTCTTTGAGGCTAGCTTGAGGGGGATAAAGCCCACATACCAAAAAGTAAAAGATTGCACCCAAGGAATAATATATGCCGTGTGCTAAGTGTTCCTCAATTGTTTTTCTTTGGTTGACTGGCCTGTGTTTTGTTTTTAATGTAGTTCAATATGGATCGAGTTAATGTTGAAGAATTCTATGAAGTTTATAAAGGAGTAGTATCTGAATATAGCGTAAGTATCAAAGTAAATATCAAGCAGTGGTACTGAAAACAATGTGTGTTGAAATATTTGAAACCTTAATGTAATTTATAGTTATTGAAATTTTCAAAAGTATGACTTATAAACCATGCATCTGATAAGGGATTAATATCCAAACTCAATATCAACCTGGTTTAACTATGATCAAAGAGTAAAGGCAGGGGGATCAGGAATTTGAGGTCCTAAAGGAATTGAGGAATTTGAGGATTCTTAAAACAAACAAGTATTACAAAGAATCTGAAGAGATATCTTCCTTCCTTCCTTCCTTCCTTCCTTCCTTCCTTCCTTCCTTCCTTCCTTCCTTCCTTCCTTCCTCCCT